GATTGCCTCGATAATAATCGCATGCAGTTCCGTCTGATAATAATCGCTTTTCCTTCACCGTCAAGGCTATATGATATATCTGGAAGTCCCCTTCATCATATTTTGCTTGTTATTTCATAAAAAAAGCCTTGCATTCAGGAAGAATGTGTGACTTCTTTCCTACTTTTGAAGTGATTTTAGATCTTTCTTTATCCAACTTTTTATTTAACCGATGTAATAAATAATGAAAGAATAAGGCGCTGACGTTGAAATCCGAGGGATTCGTTAGGGATACTTAAGCCCTTAATTATCGTAGGAGGGTGGATGCATATCTGACCTATACAATAACGTGTTGGATCAAATCGATGCGTCCGTCAGAGTTTTCTGCTCTCCCAGGCAAATTTGCTTCGAATTTGCCGACCGCGAAGAAATGGAGAACTTATTCTTAGCAATATCTGAGTCTAACCACTGCGTTATGTGCATAGAGGGACTGAAGCACTCGCTTTCAGTAGCTTTTTGCAAGAGAGTACCCATGACTACAGTGTAGGACCACCCTTGTGGGAATGTCCTCATAGGTGGCGTGCTGGGCTTTGGTGAAATAAGCTTATTTATCGGATGGGATTCCGAGCGGCTTCTCATATAATCCGCATATGTGCAAGTACACATAGCAATATTGTGCTTGTTTGAGAGTTACAGAGTTAAGTTATCAACATCTCGAACAAAGTGCATCGGGGAGATGAAGTTCAGCTGTAATTAAAGAATAGGTCGTCCTCGCTTTTCCCATACTCATATATTTCTTTTGGAGGTTAAAGAATCGCAGACCTTACATGAGTCCATTAATCGCGTCAAATCCATCCTTTGCTTTCTGATAGAATAAAAGGAGAAATAAGTTGCTCCTGTTTGGCTTAGAGTCAAAATAAGACAAGGATTATGTGAATAGAATCCAACGCTCCGAATTCTTCATATCATTACGACATTTGGACTTCAAAACATTAAACCGATTAGGCTCACAGAATCTCCAGTCTTATTCAATCTCTAATGATGTGTGTTTGCGTTAGCAGAAATTCGATTAAGCACCAGTCAGCATTTCATCAGATTCTTGACCTTAATCAGATGTTGCGCGTCGATGACGACGAATGATGACGGTATCTAATTGGCATCAATGGAAGCAACGTAATTATTTATATGATCTTATAAACTGATCTTCTTGAGGTGACGCAAGGTTGGTAAAGGTCTTCGTTGTCGTTGTCTTTGATGTTGTTGGTCGATGGCCGACGTTTCGGCGACTTCGTCTTCCTCAGAGCCTAGACGTATTTTATATTAGAATATTTTTATTATTCGGTGGGAAAAAGGGTAAAGTATTAATGAAGATCAAACTTTTAAATAAACCCCATATTGAAGAGAAAGGCCACTCACCGTGATGTTACGTGTGGGACTGGCCCACACGTAGTTCACGTGGGATCGCGAACAAGATACGCCCCGGGATCAAAATATCATTTTGAAATAGGGCGCCAGGCTACGCATGATAGTGACTATACCAACCTCGCATCAGCTTAAGAAAGTCAGTTTATAAGATCATATAAATAAATATATCAACTATCTATGCCGAAGTTTAGAGAAAGTCGGTCTTTCGAGTTATTAAGGGAAGCATCGTAGTTTGACGGTTCTCCTTCAGGATTTTACATATGCTTCTTTACATCTGCAATAAAGAAAGAGACCATGGTAAACTATTAATTATATCTATTATTAAGAGTTTAATTTGCAAGGTCACAGTTGTTCGTAATTTCAGCAGGTACCTCTTGTGGTTGATGTTAGACTAGCAAATTCCGTCGGCACTTATGATGCTCCCACTAAAATCCGTACACGACACCCTTTTCCTGGATTTATAAGCCATAAATCAATATCACAGCAAGCCTGGTATCCATTCTTTTCCTGTCATATTCACTTATTTTTTTTTTACACAAACCGGTATCGTAAGTACAACGGAGCATCATATTTGCCTACACATGTCACCTCGTTTGGTCACTGCCCACTCCCTGTTTAGCAAGCAGCACTACCCAGCCGTGCTCCATTTCAGATCCCCGTTCAGGATAGTGAGGATGGTGGCTCAGTTGCTTGCAGCACAAGAGAGCACAACTGTCTGCAAATGTAAAGCACTAATTCGTCGATCATCTTGAGTCTGACGATCTCATCTACAAACAAGATCTTCATCAATCATCATTTCGTTTCACTTTCTCTGCGAATTGATGCAGAGCCAAGGCTAACATGACAACTGGGCGAATCAACTTTGTCAAGTCAACTTTCGTAACGCCATCTGTGGTTTGTAACGAGTGCTCTTCAATAGAAATTCAATGTATGAGCAAGCAATTAAGTGGAATAGAAGTAACGATTTTCGCGACATATTCGTATATAATTCACCTCATATTGCTAAATAAAGCCATAAAAAAAGGTTATAGTGCTAAAGGAGAAACCGTTATAAATTACCGTATTACCGTACTTTTGCATTCGAGCCGCGTTTATCGTTTGTTGTGTAGTGATTTCATTCTGTAGATCTGCAGAGTTTGTACATATGTGTCTTAATGCAAGTGAATTCTTCACTGTATTATCCTGTTTTCTATCTTTTAACCGCTCCTATCAATTTTGTTTTGTATTGGATGAAATCTTTGTGATAACAATCCATTCGAATCATTTTCATTTATAGGTATGGTGATCTCGGACGACGAATATATAGCTGAAAGTCGTGATCCGACACCTGAACCCACACCTGAATTCATTGACGAAGGTAAAGTTATGATTTATGCGAGTAGTATAAACTGCCTTGGCGCGCCATGACTATACGCGATGTCTGCGTGACCGTTTCATACAAATCGATTAGTTCTGCGTGCATTCGAATTGAGTATGTTTTCATCCGATGAGCATTTTTGTAAACACTTGGAATCCTATGATTTTTAATCGCTACTTTTCACAACGACTATAACTTTAATGAAAAACGACTCTGTTAAAACCACACTTTTCCTTCAAGTTTCTGGTCATACTTCCATTGTCGTTTTCACAACTTCCGCACGCGTTATCGGTTTTCTAGTTTCCTCCCTACCTTTATCACCAATCGATAGAAAGCTGTTTTCGACCTACGGAAAAAGTCTGTCCGATAAAATTGGATGCAAATAGCTGTGTTTGAGCCACATTCCATAAGTAGACATTAATTCTATCCTAACCTTCAGGGTTACTGATTGGTTTGTAGTTTGCCGAAGTCATTGCTCAGACACAAAATCGAATTGCTCTGGAACTTTTTATTTTATTTGTGGTTAATAAGAGTTGAATCATGGTTCTCGAGCCAACCACTCACTATCACTCAATACTAAGGTCGCTTTAACGATACTCTGACTCTACCGTGAGACTTCATTCACACGAATGTCATGCCTTTTGATAAGGTTGAGAGAGTTCGATTTAGCTCCCTGAGTGAAAGCTGATGAGTTGCTCAAATCGACTGAATGTGGTTTGTTTTAAGCAAGCCCTTCGTAAATTAACTGTGAACAAATGCGGTACAGTAGTTTGTAAAAACATTTTTGTCCTTGTTTCTTTTTTTCCGTTGTTTTACTCATTTAATATCCAAGAACATTGAACTTTTCTGTAATAATAATAATATATCTATCCGAAGAGAGCGCGTGTGGCGCAGTGGTCGGAGGTGTCCTGTAACGCACGCACACGCGGAGTCGATCCCCGCGTCCGTGGCTCACCAAGCCTTCCATCTCTCAGGAGTCGGGGTCGGCAAATTGGTACTAGACTTCTCTGGGAGAACTGGCTCGATGCATCGGTAGGCCGGTAGGCCACGTAAAGTCATTGTAAAGGCCAGATATGCATTCAATTACCTCCAAACGAGGCTCAATGAAGTCGAATGCATGGCGCGTCCCTCAGGGATTGATCAACGCCGAGAGCTTTATTTCTTTATCTATCCGAATGATGTTTGATTCAGAATATTAGGAAGGTTCAGCTTTTCATTACAAACCTCTTCATTTCACATAACACAAGATTATCATTTCTAAACCATACCTTAGAAAACGAAGAGTTTAGTTGATCTCCAATCGATACTTACCTTTTACACTGCCTCTGTCTGCACTTCTCAAAAAAAGATGAGATTGAAATTCGTCGTTGATGATATTTATTTAGATGGATCATCTTCACAGGGAATTCTAAAGAATGGCAAGGGACCATACACGGAGAAGAAGAAACACCTTGATGGCGAGATTATTTGCGAAGAACGGGTTCCTGATATGCAGCTGGGAAGTAGGGCACTTTCACTTTTAAACCTCTAACTAAACATATTCATTGACACAGAAAGTTGCAGATTCATTGCGTGCAATGCATAAGTCGCCAAGTGTGGGGCAAAGTGGATGGGATGCGTTGCCATCAATTCAGTTTGTTTCCAATGGTTTAGTTGGCTACGCGCTTTTTTGCCGCACTTTTCGAAATTAATCGATGGTTGTCCAAGACCGATGTCGTGCCATGCATTCTTCCATATGCTTAATTACACACGGAAAAACCTTTTCCGGCTGAGTTTGTTCACCGATAGTTTGCCTGATAATTGCCTGTTGTTTCACTTGCAATCGCAGTGATGAACCATCGTTATCGTATAGAATGGACGGCTATAGAAATTCCTGAAATACATGTGGCATAAAAAGTAGGTTCCAAGTGACGTTGACGATGTGGTTGTATAGTGGTCACAGTAACAGACAATAAATAGCAGCATGCATGTCACACATGCCCCTAGAGCAGTGGAGCAAGGTCTCTTCTATAGTTCCATCATGTTCTGAATCCCTTAAGTCCTTTAGCTTAAAGAAACTCTCCTATATTCTAAAAGCCAGCAATTCCGTATTTGACTTAAAATTAGGTGTCGCTCCACGTGCGGACTCGCAAAGTTAAGCTTTGGAAGCAAACCTTAGTATTGAAGATTCAAAATGGTAACGTTTTTAGGAAATAATCCAAGTTATTGCCTCTCTATTTAGTAGAATGGAAATTCTGTAAATGGCAAGGCCGATGGCTCAACCCTCTCGATGTTTGTAATTGTGATTTTTCCAGAATGCCGTTATGTTCGACTACACGATAATGTGAACTATGTGGCTGCTGGTATCATCTTACGAGGTGAAAGTAGTGAAACAGAAGTGCTACTAATTCAGGAGGCCAAAAAGACGTGTTATGGAAAGTAAGCACAGCTTTGTGGCGACAGCACATAATCACGATTTCGTCACAAATCCGTCCTATTTCAGATGGTATATGCCGGCTGGTCGGGTAGAAGCTGGTGAAACTTTGGAAGTGAGTTTAATTATTCAGGAATCGCAGAAAAATAGTGTAACGCCTTTTTTCTTTTGTTTCAGAATGCTGTAAAGCGAGAAGTTCGAGAAGAGTCCGGCTATGTCTGTGATGTCATCGAATTATTATCGTTAGAAGTGAATAAGTGAATTTTTCTCATGTTGACTTTGTCTCGAATTTTTCTTTCTGTTTACAGGTTCAGGGTAGTGGTTGGTATCGGTTTGCTTTCTACTGTGAGATAGTAAGTGAGTTTTCGAGTTTTTGATAGTTGGTCATAAATATGGTAAATATACCTACCGGTGAAAACATAAGTTTACAAGTGTCTCTAAACCCACTTTCATAACGGTTCTTAGGGTGTCTTAGGTTTCCTCCTTTTTGAGCTTTAGCATTCTTCGGCTGTGCATTTTTTCGGTTATAAGTAAAGCAGTATATCTAGTTTTCTATGTTTCTTTCGAATCTGCTGTAGGTTCTGCGTCATCTACCCCATCGATGGCTTTCCGCATTGATGTGGTATTTCTTGGTACCAAATCGCAATTTAGGGACGGAATGTCTTTGATCCCTCAAGCTCTTTATTTCATCACTCAAACTAAGAACGATTTTGACACCCTCATCTGGAAGGCCTGCTAAAATTATACATGTTCGTTCTACAGTGAAATGGCAAGTGGATGTCCTATAGTATAGCTGCTACACTGTAATAAACTTAGTCGCCAAGCATCAAGTCTCTTTGAACCAAGCCGGCCAATGACTGCATATGGTGACGATTAGCTGAGAATACACTGGGCCGGCTCTATCGGCGCTTCAGGGAAAAAACACTTGCCTTGTTAACAAAATGCAAGTCAGTTGTGAACTGCGTTGAGGGCAGCAAAATCTATTAAGATGGACTTTCTACTTAACCAGACGTCACATGTTATGTGGTTCCCAACACTTTTGCTTTCGTTCAATTCTGTCTCTCTGCCCATCATCGACGGAGATTTTGAGATGTGCGTCGATTCTGCTGCTGCTTGAGAATTTTTGTCCTTTTTACCAATATTAGGTGCTGGTCCAGTCGATTCATCCTAAAATTCTGGAATAACCGTGATATGGAGTTTCCATGTTAATTGGATGAAGTAAGTGGACCAAAGGCAAATTTGGTGTCAACTTCCGAAGCTCTAATGGATGGCATTCTTGACGAGCCTAGAATGGGATCAAGCCATCCACCAATGAACAGCGCCTCTACGAATGCACTGTCCACGTCTTAATTATGTGTCATAAATCTAGCAACTGTCAAATTTCTCCCGCACTTCAGCTTTTAAAATCGGTTGATTTTAGAGTAAAAAAGCATTTTGGAGACTTTATCCTGTTAAAATCTCGAAATTACTGTCTTCTATGAGACATAAAAGTGCCTAGGTGGAGTGGGTCGATCAGTTTTCATGTCAGCCAGAAATTTTTATGAGGTGAAGGTGGCTACCTACTCTGCCGTTATAACTTCGGTTTGAATTTTGTTGCTCTGATTTTTCGGACATGTGTATTGGGTGTGTCAGAAGGGAAACAAAACACATTGGAAGCATGATGTTTTTTTTTCGAATTTTCTTCTCGATGAGTTTTGCTGGGAATCTATTCTAATACCAGGTTTCGCCTAAGTTTAGCTTTGTGATTATTGAGAATCTGACTTTAAATTTCAATTATTCACGATATCCTCCAAACGGTTTACCGCCTCATCGTGGCTGGGAGAGGTGTTCCTGGGTGTCGGACTGCGATGTACAGCGGGGATATTCATCCCACGGCAGAGTATCTCAGGGTGAGAAGGAGTCCTGCGTTTCCACCAAGGAGCCCAGTTAACAGTAAACCAGTACCAGGATCCACCACCTTCCTGGTGTCGAACTAGTCTCATGGTGGCAAATCTCTCTCTGATCCACAGGGGCTGCGACTGCCTTTGGTGGTGAAGACCTCAGACTCGTCAGACTTTGGCCAGGCTGACCTCGGGATTCCAGGGAATCACAATGGCCTAACCAGAAAATCTCAGAAAAATGGTGACTGTGCTGGGTCCCTCACAGCCAGTGAGTACGAGACGTTCAAGTATCAAGTAAGTAAGTATTCACGATATAAACACAATGAATACCTGGAGTACTTTCCTGGTACTTCTTCATGTGTTGTGGGATTTCCAGCACTTTTGATCTTTCCGTGGTATTCTAAGTATCATTCGTAGAGATAGTTAAGTTCATATTTGGCATCGGCTACAAATTGCGGATCTGTTTTCCATTCTACGAGATGACGGTCACCGAATACGACTTTCCTTACAATTCCGGTTGTGTGTGACAGAGTTTTCGAGCCTTCACCGTATGCAGACGTCGGTTCTTCTGAATTGGGTGGAGGCTTGCGACTCAGATTCTTTCAGGTCAATAGAGCATTCTGCAACGGCAGTGGATCTTGTGACTTTTGTCGACAAACCGCTTGGGTTCGACCAGTAACAAACGGAATGCTGTTTTCAAAAAAATTCTAGGTTAGAAAGGCATACAACAAGAAGAATTAAGATCTTTATTATTTTAGGTGGCGACTTAAAAACACAACCCAATCAAGAATCGCTTGGTGCCCAATGGTGGTCCGTTGATGAAGTGTTCGGAAAAAAGTTGCCATTGAGGTGAATCTAATTTTTCAGCCTCGAGTTTCACACAAGCATTACTTCTTTCTTCCTGTATTACTGTACCAATAATCACTGTTTTTGTAAAAAATACATGAGAAAGATAAGTCACAACGTCGAAAAGGAGCTCTTTTTTTAGGGTCAAGGACTTTCTTCCGTTACTTGAACAAGGATTAGCTTACAGACGTGCCCAGCATACAGATGTACCACGGATTCTACCACTTAATATAAATATTCCGGGATTATTTATTGAATTCATGATTGTACGATATAGTTTAGATGAGTGAGTACTTCTTCAACCTTCCACTTATTGTTTAGCAAGGAACAGCTTAATCAGTAGCCTTCCAGAGCTATCTAAAGCAAAAATTATGTTCAATGAAGCTGACATTCCTACCTCACACTTAAAGCTTTGCGAACCCCATTATTAACAAGGTGTCTAGTTGTTCCTTTTTTACAGCAGTCGCGAAGATGTTATTCAGCGCACGTTTACTTCCTCACAAATGTAGAACATACAATACAACGGTAGCTGACGTTTCGACAGTATCACCTTCTTCAGAGCCTGTCAGGAACTAATATGTAATTTACCAGGTCAAGCGTTTCAACAACGCATACAAAAAGATCAAAATCTGAATAATAATCACACGCTCACCGGTTTCTCGAAAAACCCACCGGTTTTTATCTGCCTTCCACCAAGGAAGAACGGCCGCTTAGCACATGGTTGACTACTGCACCGCCCCACATCAAAAATCAGTTCTGATTCTGAATCAGATGCAGGGCAAAATCACGCGTTATCTGATGGCATTCTACCCTGCTATTCATTCTCGGATTTTTGGAATTTATCCAAAAAGCCTCGAGAAATTTGCGCGTTGGTGTTTCAGTTTCCCGTGCGAGGATAGAGACTTTTGCATCAAAATCTTCTCCGCTGTGTTTTTGTATCCTACGCGTGCTTAGTGGATACTTTGTCTTATTTTCGTTTGCTATTTAGGTGTTCTTTTATACGGATACATAAAAGTCTTCTCGTTTCACCAATATTTTATTTCCGCAATCATTACAACAGATCAGGTATATCGTACCTGAACTCATGCAGTCACCGTCTCTGCCGTAAGGGCAAGTTACGCAATTTGGTGTAACTGCCACGACCGACTTTCTATTAACCTCGGCATTGATCAAGTGATTTTGTTCGTATTTTTTTTTTTGAGCGAACGCGAGGTGTTATTGTTCTTTGTTCACGATTAAGCTGACGTTTCGGCGAATTTCGCCTTCTTCAGAGCCTGGAAAGGTCAAGTTGATAGCAACTCACTCGGCCAGACGCCTCCATAACCAAACAAAGAAACCCCAAACCAAGATTTCAATCACTTTGAACACAGCTTTGCACACTCACCGCTTTTTATGAGGTCTCCACTAAGTATATCACGTAGAGACCAACCGCACAGAAATCACGTGGAAGTATAATGTGCCCCTCACATCAGAAAAGCAGTTTTATATACTGCCCTATATCACGCGTGATAATGAGGCATTCTTCCCTGCGGTTCATTTTCGGATTTCTGGAATTAATCCAGAGTGCCTCGAGGGTTTTTCGCGCCAAATACGAGCAATTTGGTGTTTCACATAGACGGTCATATAGGCGTTACGAACTAACTCACGGCGTAGACTATCTGGTGGTGTTTCAACTACCGCTACCGAATCCTCTAGATCTGCTCTTCTTAAGCATCGCTTTATCGCTGCACTTATTTCATTGCTAATGAAGAGCAAGATAAGCGGGATTTTGTTTCGACTAAACCTTTGTTTTAGAACGTCGCTCTCCTTCTAAACTTATCTCGTGGGGTTACTGTTTCGTAACCATCGGAGATGGCCAAGTTGCGCGATTCTTCCTTTAGTTCCCTGGTAGTACACACAGAGGTGGCTGTTCGAAACATGTTTCTCACAATCGCCCTCTTTGTGTGTGAAGGGTGGGAAGAAAGGAAATGAACAAGAATGTTCTTGTTACCTGGCTTTCGATACCACTTTGTCAGGTAACCGCTACTTGATGGGTTTATTTAAACGTTTAGAAACGGAAACCAGTTTTCTTTCGGTTTCTCCCGGGTGAAATTAATGTACTCAGAGTGCTCGTTCAGTAATTCAAAGTATTTGTCCATCTCCTCCTGCGTGGAGAAGACGACAAAACAATCATCTACATATCTGCAGTAGAGTAGTGGCTAGAGACGGAGAACAGGAGCATCTGTCCTAGACATAAACACAATGGCAAGGCTTGGTGCCAGTCGATGTCCCATTGCCAAACCCCTCATTTGTGCGAAATATTTCCCGGACCATCTGAAAATCGAGCAGTTTAGGCACTCCTTTAAGAGGGCCATAAGTTGCTGAATGGACAAGCCAGGCATATTTATTCTTCCTTCATGTTCAACAAGAAGTTCGAAGATGGCTTGCATTACGGATTCATTCGATACGTTGGTGTACAACGCGGTAACATCGAAAGACTCCATCACGTACGCGTTATTAGGAGACGCGTTGCGTAGACGTTCTAGAAACATTTGGTGTTTGTGAGGTGTGCTGGAATGTGGTTAAGCAACTGGATAAGTATTATGGTTAGAAACCAGGTTATTCTATCCGTTGGCCCGTTCACACAGTTGATGATGGGTCTAACCTTAAATGGTGACGGATTGGTTGACGCATGATCATCAGGTAATACCAACTTATGTGTTTTAATAAGTAGGTATAGAACGGGACATGTTGGTTTATCGATTTTAAAGTGCGAAATAACCGATGATTTTAAACCTGGAGCCTTTGCCACACTGACCCATTGATTGCTTAGCTTTCGATATTGACTTTTACATTCCTTCTCAGAGGATGGGCATTAAAGGGTAACATCACTAAGATGTTCCTTTGTTATCTCAACATCCAGCCGGCGAGGAATAACTGCGAACTCTCCTTCCTTGTCACTAACTAACTGATAGACTAATGGTCTTTGAATTTATTAAATCTCAAATTTCTTGCGTGCCACACTTTTGTGCGGCTGTAAGGTTAGAGATAAATCTTCTATCGCGATAGTGATTAGGAGTGTTGAGAACGCCGTCCGAAAACACGCGGAATTTTATGTCAATTCCATCTTCTTTGGGGCTCTGCTGTCTAAAAAACGTTTTAGGGAAGGGTGATGGTGGTAATGTCGCCACCTCTTGGTTTTCACCTCTATTTTATGTTTCTTGTTTGGCCTGATAGCGGAGTCGTTCTTGAAACTCATAAAGGTTGCATGCTATCCTACGCAGGGTCGTTTTAGAAATGGGTTTTGATGGTGCAAAACATGGGCCCAATTCTAATAGCGAACGCGCACTCTCAAGTATTGTTATGCCCCAATCACGGTGACCATAGATTTTTTGGTGCATTATCAACCGTACTTTGACTCCTAGCAAAGTTCGTTTGTCTGTGATTTCTTGAAGCCGAGACACGCGAACTAGTCAACAGATTCTCAAACGTTCGCCTAAGGTCATTTTAGCGTTAGACCTAATAGAATTGCATTTCATTATTGACCCACCAACTATTCTACTCCTAAGTTGATCTTCCAAATACAAAGCACAAAAATGTTTCTTCAGATTCTAGAGCAATCGGTAGCGATAGTTGGTATTACTACCGGATACTCTACGTCGTCAGTTAGTTCGTAACTGCCTGTATGACCGTCTGTGTGAAACGCCAAATTGCGTAATTTGCCTTTAAGGCAGAGACTGTGACTGCATGAGTTCAGATACGATATACCTGATCTGTTGTAATCATTGCGGAGATAAATATATTGGCGAAACGGGCAGGCCTTTATGTATCCGTATAAAAGAGCACCTAGATAGCAAACGAAAACTAAGACGAAGCACCCCACTAGGCACGCGTAGGATACAAAAACACAGCGGAGAAGACTGATGTAAAAGTCCCCATCCTCGCACGAGAGACTAAAACACCAACGAGCAAATTTTCCGAGGCTTTTTGGATGGATTCCAAAAATCCGAGATCGAATAGCAGAGTATAATGCTCTGAGATAACGCGTGACTTTACCCGCTTCTGATTCAGAATCAGAACTGATTTTTGATGTCGCGTCGTGCAGTAGTCAACCATATACGACTCTAAGCGGCTGTTCTTCGTTGGTAAAGGCAGGCAGAAGTCGGTGGGTTTTTCGAGAAGCCACTGATCGCGCAATTATTGTTCAGATTTTCATCTTTCTGCTTGCATTGTTGAAGCCTTTGACGTAGTAAATTACATATTAGTGTACCCTTCCAGGCTCTGAAGAAGGCGATTCTGCGGAGACGTCGGCTACCGCTGTGTTATATATGTTATATTTGTGAGGAATTAAACGTGTGCTTAATAACAACCTTTCGACTGCTGAAAAGGGAGAACAATAGATTTATAACCCAATGCCGAGGTTAATAGAAAGTCTACCTCGGAAACTGTTAAAAGAAGCTCTCTAGTCTCTATTCGTTCTCTTTTCAAGACGCAATCTGGTGATTTACTTTAACAATAGATTACTGCGTATTGACACGGTGAAAAATGTAGTGCTACACAATTTCTACGCTCACATTCCACAGTTCAATTCCCGTTGGACTGCATAGTGCCCTACGAGGTCGCAAATTTTCATGGCAATTTCACTGAAATTGCAAAGGACAACACGAAAGCTCGATCGATTAAAGAGCTCTTAAATATCAGACCACAACGTTCAGAAGGAAGGAGGCGTGAAGCTGTGTGGGACTATCACTGTTCATCCACTAGATAACACTTCCGAATTGAGTCCTTTTTTTACGAGACCGGTGTTTCACATCTAGTATGTGGATTACGGCATTTGATCCTTTCCTCGCCTCCGTCGTCCACGAAGATCTTCTAAGTTTCCGCGTGTAGATTTTGCTGCTGCTTGATGATTTTTCCTTTCATAATAAATATCGTTGAATGCTGGTCGAGTCGATTCTTCCTGAAGTCCTGAGATAAGGCAACTGGATTGGAGCACTCCCACTTGGATTGCAGCGATTGGACTTTTCACAGACAAGTCTGGTATAACTTCCGATCCCAGAGAGATGGAAAACTTTGGGTATCCGAAACGGGATCGAGCCTGCATCGTGTTCATGATTATCTGCATCATTACCACTGTGGTACTCCTCCCTCCCCCCTCTTAATGAATAGCGTTTTATCTGGTAATTGAAAAGCTTAATTGATTTCCATGTCTCGTTTTTACTAGCCGTTATTATTATTGACTCTTACCGTGGTTGTTTTCAGATCGCGAATTGAAGTATTAGTTCATAAATCGATAAAAAATGAACAGATGCTAACGGAACACAATCAGCCTTTTCCGACGGTTGAGTTCGGATTCGAGTATTTCTTTGCCATGGTCGTGTCGAAGGTCTACAGGGTTTGTTTTTTTCGCCGTTTGCTGTAAGCTATAGCAAGATAATCACAATTTTAACCGTTTCATTTACTGCCTATTCTTTTTAACGGCAGGGTGTATTGCGAAACATAACTTTTAATGGTGCTGAGATATTTGCAAAATTCCGGACCGTAGGTGTCTGCGGTAGGGAACGAACGCGCTATTGTCCTTTCCGGGGAGTAACGCTCCCGGATCAATCCCGTTGACGGGTGATTGCTGGTGGCAAAAGATCGATAGAACTAGCTGAGAGATAGGCAAAACGAAGGAGCGGCATGGTATGGTGGTGAAGTGCGCTACTCCCCGGGAAGGACAATAGCGCGCGTACGTTCCCTACCGTAGACACCTACAGTCCGGAATTTTGCAAATATCGCAGCATCATTGAAAGTTATAGCAAGATGGTTTAGGAAGCATACCGACCTGTAGGAAAATATAAACTTTACATGGCTTAAATGGTGTTCAAGAGAACGTTAAAAAACTGCGCAGAGTTGCCAGTGTGTTAGATAACAGAGGCGAATATCCGTTATAAGTGGAATTTTAGAAATATGCCGTAGGACAAGAAATCTCTTTCCGATTCAAAAGGATTGACTACAAATGATGGCTATATAAGGAGGGACACTAAAAAAGCCATCTTGGAACTGCTGGAGAAAAATCTGCTGGGTTAGCGACTAGAAACGGTGAAGATTTGAGAATAACCACGGTGGTACTGAGATATTTGCAAAACTTAGATCCCAGATAGGATTTGAACTTTCGATTACCATTAGAAGGGCTCACATGTTACTCATTGCAGCATTAAGGTCCTTATTTTGCCTTTCCATCAACCAGCTTTTAACGCTAACGTGCCATCAGAGATCATCTGTCAACGAGAATGATCTGGGAGCGCAAATCGGCATTAAACCAAATAAAGCTGAGGCTGTAGTCGGAATCAGAATGCTTAGCTTTTTATTCAGTGCCTATTTTTTCTCCATGGCAGTGTATTATGTAAAATACAATTACATTGATACTGAGCCACAGATCTCCCTCATATGAGGGATCTCGAGCCGGTAAGCCGCGAGGCTGCGTGGCGCGTCCCCAGATGGTGGATAGTGGTTAATCGCGGACCAAAAGCGACCTTTGCTTCCCCGAGACGCAGGTGGATCCAGTGGATGGACTCCGTGTTTCTGCTGCGTCGATTTGCCACATACTTTCTGCATATACTAGGCGTATTCATGCATGCGTACGTGGGTGCGTTCTTGCTTATGCGGATTGTATTCTACGAGTCCATTTGGCCAAAAACCTGCAATCAAGCGACTGGGGAGTATATGGTAGGCGGTTAGGAGTCGCCTCTAACAAATAAGCCCCAGGTCCACTCTGCGAGAAAGCTACACGTGAGTATGCCTAGTGCCCACGTTCAGAGCCCAGCAAGCTATACGTAGGTATCAAAAATGCTAAACACAGTAAAAAAAAACGAGCCTCATTCCTCTGATCCAGAAAGAGACCCCAATTTCGCAGCGTTGGGTAGGACGAGTACGGAGAGGATGCTAAAATTTCAGGGCCAATGGAAGCTGCCTGGATTTCAAAGAACTATGATGAGGATCTGTACCTATAATGCACGTGCACTTGCAACCGAGTCCTCGATAGAAGACTTGCTCATGCAAGCAAGAATGATATGGTACGAAGTCATCGGCCTGGCCGAGACGAGAAGAAGCCAGCCTTCAACGCCGTCTTTGACACCGGAGAAGAATTTTTCGTCGGAACATGCGACAGTAGAGGAGTCGGCGGCGTGGGCGTTCTCCTCAACATGAGTTTGTCCGTGAACATCGATTCATTCGAACACCTTTTAACCTGAATCGGACGTTTACGATTAAAAAGACGTATATTAATTCCGGCTTTGACAATCTTTGTCGATTACGCACCGACATCAAACTATAGCGAAGAAGAAGTTGAAGCGTTCTACATGGATTTGGAGAAGTTCTAGAGAAAAGACCACACATTCTTCAAGGTCATCATTGGAGATTTCAACGCCAAGTTTGGACCAAGAAGAACGTCTTAAGAACGTCACATTGGGACCCACGGATTAGAATGGAACGAGCAGGGTGAGCGGTTGTCTGAGTTTATCATGACGACCGAGACAATCCATGGTAACTCGCAATTCCAGAAACTCCACCCTCAACGCTGGACGTGGGAGTCTCCCAATGGGGGGTACCATAACGAAATAGACCGCATCATACTAAATAGAAGGTATTGCCAAGTCGATGTCGTTGTTGTCCTGAAATTCCACACGGGATCAGGCCATCGTTTCCTTCGTACAAAATTCTATTTCTCGCGGAAAGGAGAAAAAACCGCTGACTCCAAAACCAAAGTCTCAGCACCACCGCAAACTGGGACTTACTGAATTTATTAGTCGGCTGTTGAGAAGATGCCGTTGTCGGTAACACTGACGAGCTATGAAAGCTGAGAGTTCGAAAGTCACCAAGAGACGTCTGTCTCCAGAAACACTCGAGCTGATACCCCAGCGTGGAATCGCATGGGCTCCAGGCAGCCGCGAACTAACGTTCGAACTTGCAAAACAATGTAGATAGGCGGTAAAAGAAGATCTTAAAGAGAGAAGAGTGGAGTAAAGAGAGGCATTAATGGTCAAAGCTGCAGAGGCTGGGAAAAGCATTCGCAATGCCCACAGAAGCTCCGCCAATTACAAGACCAGGACGATTGCACTCCCACACCCAGACGGAAGAGTTACGGCGCCCAGAAGGCAATGGAGAAAATCATTTATGAATATTACTCGGATCTCTTCGATAGCCACGTCCACCTTCCGTCATATGAAATAAAGGAGGATGGATATGTTGCACCACTGGTTCTCCCTTCCGAAATCCGACATGCCATTTCGTCGGTGAAAAATCGAGCAGCACTAGGTCCGGACGGGATAAGACCAGAACATCTGAAGAACCTTTCGCCAGTCCTCGTAAACACACTGGCTCGGCTCTTAACACGTTGCCTGTCTGACCGCAAGGTCCCTACTCAGTGGAAGACCAGGAAGATCGTGTTATTGTTCAAGAAGGGTGACCTGTACGATATCGGTAACTATCGCCCAATCTGCTTGCTGTCTGTCGTCTACAAACTTTTCACTCGTGTCATTCCAAACACGATTGACAGAACGCTAGACGAAGGACATCCATGTGAGCAAGCAGATTTTTGAAAAGGATTTAGTACGATAGGCCACATCAACACAGTAACACGGCTCATTGAAGCATCTCGAGGGTACAAAAGACCGCTTTGTCTCACTTTCATCGATTTACAGAAGGCCTCTGATTCAGTTGAGACAGAAGCAGTCTAAGCCCTTGATAGTCAAGGAGTCCCTACTCAGTACATAAAGATTCTTCGTGAGGTGTAAGAAATTTCACAACGAAGGTACCACTATTCTACAACGATAATAACGTTGACGTCAAAAGAGGAGCTAGGCAGGGCGTTACCATCTCGCTAAAATTGTTTACCGCCATCCTCCAGAACGTCATGCGAACATTGGAAAGCGGAGCGTATGCTTGACGACTTTGATAAAGCCTGTGGAGTGATTGGTCTTCGACTAAATCTCACAAAAACGATGTTCATGAATAACGGATTGGTTTCGTGTGCCCCTTTCACGCTCAGCGGTACGAATATCTCTGAATGCTCCAATTATGTCTATCTAGGTCGGGAAATCAATATGGTGAGAACGACTTAGCTCCAAAGCTGAATAGAAGGAAACGAGCGGCCTGCGGAGCTTTCAAGAGCATCGGGGATGTAGTGAAGAGGACAAAGAACACCTGATTCCGAGCCCACCTTTTCGACTCTACGGTACTTCCTGTCCTAACGTATGCGTCAGTAACCTGGTCGCTGCGTAAGCAGGATGAAAATCACTCAGCGTTATCGAACGCGCAGTCGAAAGGACGATGCTAGGAGTATCCCGTTCCACACAAGTATGGGACGGGACTCGAAGCTCCGATCTGCATCAACGACCAAAGATCAAAGATGCCGTTCTGTACGCCAAACAGTCGAAGATAAGGTGGGCCGGATACGTACTGCGTATGAATGACAACCGGTGGACAAGAGCCGTTAGCGACTGGATTCCTCGGGATGTCAAACGTACTGCAGGAAGACCACCGACCCGATGGTCTGATGTCTTCACAAAGAGCCTTGAAGAAAGATATGATGCTGGACGAGTGCCTAGAGCGAGCAGAATCCACTGGACTACTCTTGCGCACGACACGGAAAAATGGAGGTTTTACTGGCGCCCTCTCGAGTCACTCGACGATCGACGGGACTGCAGGTGATACAGGTGATTGATGCTGAGATATTTTTGTGATTTATTGTGATTTCGACTACATCCTTACCCTTATCTGGGTTCTCTACTATCTTATCTGGTTTCAATGTCGGTTTGTGCTCTTCAGATTATTCTCGTTTATGGGTGATTGCTGATGGCACCGCTAGGGTAAAAAATTGGCTCAGAGAAGTAACACGTGGACCCCCGGAAGGCGTAAACGCCAGTTCGAATCTGGCCTGTGTTCCAAGTGTTGCAAACAGCTCAGCATCATTGTGGTTGTATTTCACATCATGACTTGTCCTGAAAAAATAGTAAGCAGTAAATGAAAAGTGAAGCATAGAGAACGCTGACAAAACTACTTTCTTCTTCGGATTCGAAGGGAGTGATTGTTCTCAAGCAACTAAACACCGGTGTTATCACATCTGGCTGTGAAAAACACAAGTCTTCATGAAGTCAAGCGATTTAAGTAATCTATAACAAATCTCAAAAGCAGAGCTACTTGGATATTCGGATGGGTTGCCTTCACTGGTTATGCGGGCCCTAGCGTAATTTTCGCTGTTTCGGAGTTTTGCTGGTTTAGTCATTGTGGTTCCCTCAGAGTCCCAGGGCAGCAAGGCCAAGGAATGTCCCAGGCCACCACCACCACAACCAGTCGCCCTTGTCGATCAAAAGGTGATTTACCACCATGCGACTAGTTTGATACTAAGACGGTGGTGGATCCTCGTATTGGCTTACCCTTAGCTGGGTTTCCTGACGGAAACGTTGAATTTATCAGCTTGCGAGATCCTAATGGAAGGACGAATCTCTTCCTGGTATGTCGCGGCTGCACACCCAGAAACGCCTCCCAGCCACAATGAAGCGGTAAACCATTGGGAGGACGATAGAATACAATGTTTAAAATCGTTGATTTTATTGAGTATGTTTCAGCATCTTCTCGAAGAAGGAGGTAATGTCGTGTTCGCTCCGTCCCATGTCGTTCGAATAAAATGTCATCCGAATCCTATTCAGTCATTAGCACACGGACTTTCAGTTCGATTATACTGTCAACATAAGAAGTCCGCTACAAAGGCCGTAATACGAAGTCCACGGTAAGAAAAAACTTGTGTAGATGTCAATTTTACGTTCTGTCTTTGACGTTCTTGAATCCACTCTATTGATCGCGTCGCGCAGATATCACTGGATTCCGGTTGATGACAAATCGATACGCCATCAGCTCTACATGGAGAAGCATCAATATCGCCCATTGTTGAAAATGCTTTAGTCAAACAGTATTCAGTAGCTACTGAAGAAAGTTTTTCTTTGTTCAAATTTGACGATATATTTGTGTTTTTGTACTACCTAGTCGTTAAAAATCTCAAGGATACCATCACCGGCTGTTGATCGTCGTCTTTTTTGTCTGTGTTCATCATCTCTTTTTCCTTCTCTCTCTTTTTTTGGCATTTCTTTTTCCTCCTTCCTTCTTTTTCTCTCTATGTATCTCTATCTCGCAAAAGAAACGTGTGCAAATTGCTTGTTGACGATATTAATAATATTAATAATAATAATAATAATAATAATAATAATAATAATAGTAATAATAGTAATGCCGAAAACAGAACTCACTGCTATGAATCAGTAATGTTACTGCTTTGTAGTCGAGAAGAAAGTGTAAACAAAGCACACAAATGAACAAAAAGTATTTAGAGAGAAAAATTCTTTTTAGCCTACAAGTTGGGTTGAAGAGAAACGGTTTAGCTGGGATTTAACTTGTGTGGAGGCACACATATTTCCTTCTTCTACAGACACGTAATGTTTGTTGACATGCCAACAAAGTGTTGAAATCAGAAAGTAAGGCGCATGTTCATAATTCTGTACTTGTAAAAGATGCTTATCTAGCCGAATGGTTATATACGCCCCACAACACAAGCGAGGAACCACGCACCCTGGGCGAACTAGGCCCACTCATCCTTTAATGGTCAGCAAGTCAATATTTTCACTTCTTCGGATTCCTGATTATCCTTCAAATCGCATGTCTATGCCCAATCATTTTCCTTCATCATAAATAAGAAGTTTACTGCCTTTTAACAAGATTTCTGTGAGAACAACAGGGATTTTAGACGTTGTTCAACCAAGTCTGTTCAGTTGTTTACGGAGGTTTTCACCAAATTCTTTGTGCTCTATCGACATCTTGTCAAATACAGTTGTGAAATTAGCAGTGGTTCGTCAAAAGCTATTTTTTACAGTTGATAATTTACAAAAAAAATTTTTTGGACGAGGCTGGTTCGCGGCGGGAGAATATTGCTGTTGGAAAGAGTGCAACTTAGAGAGTATGGTCAGCGAAGAAATGCCACAATCTCTCTTCTTGAACACTAAAATTCGACCTTTAAAGCGATCTTATCTCTAGGATAAGACGATGAAACCTTAAAAAGGCTTCTTCAGGGTGATTCGATGTTCACGTGCGCCCATCAGTTTGCTTCAGTGCAGTTTTTTTCTTCGAGACAGTTACTAAGTCTCGTTAGATTTTTATTCTTTTTTTTTTATAACCCACGGTTAGCAACTTTTATATACAACACATGTATATCCAGTACACAATTGAAAAAAATAAAAAAAAAGATAAAGCTCTCGCCGTTGATCAATCCCTGAGGGACGCGCCATGCATTCGACTTCATCAAGCAGCGTTAAAGGAGATTCAATGCAACTCTAGCTTCTACAATGACTCGCAGTGGCTACCCGAGTCGATGCTGCTAACCTACAAGATAGGTCTAGTGCCAATTTTCCGATCCTGGAGGGATGGTAAAGCTTGGTGAACCCGGGACCCATTGGATCGAGCCCATGTGTATCGCGGCGTGCCTCTAGCCACTACACTCCACGTGCCTTCATAATTCAGTAGCAGCTACTATAGTAATAGCTACAACAGCAATTTTTAGTTCTTACTTCCAATCATGGCCGATCGAGGCTATATGGAAATCATTCATACAACTGCCCTTCATTGGGCTCCGAGTGGGTGCTTTGTTTAGGAAATCCTTTCCTGTTTTTTGCGCAGGTACCCGTATGATATGTCCTTTTCCTTGCATCTGCTCGTCTATTTCACTATCCAGCTTCCGAACGTGGTCCGTAAATGACTCAGAAAAATCTCTTAGTTGCATGAATTGATGGCGCATGACATCCTCCTCATCTTCAACTTCTTTCTTGTCACTCCGTAGATCAAGGTCGAACTTGATGTCGTCATCAGCTGATATAAGGATAGAAAAGTGTTAAAACGATTGTAAGGAACGGAAAAAGATCACCGACGCTGGAATTACAGAATGAGGATTGCTTCAAAAGAATTAGGTAACTTACATACTCGGATCTTCAAGATTTCTTTCAAGAGTTGTAAAACAACGACTATATAATTCTCTGCTGGAAACTGAACGAAATCCTGTCAGATTCTTTTCTCATTTGAAATGAAACACAGTCAGAATACACAAAAGTTCTCCAACAGGATACAAATCTTTCCACGACCGACTTTCTATTAACATCGACATTGACCGTGGCATTGGACAAATCTTCTTATTCAACAGCAAGAAAAAAAAGGATTTTTATGAAAGTGTTAATTGCGAATAAGCTCAGACACATTCGCTTTTACAAATACGCCAATTATAGAAAAAACAGCAAAACGTAGCTCACAGGAGCGAAGTTAAACCATTCTATGGACAAGGAAGAGCCCTTTTTATAAAACCTCGACATTCTCAACCAAACAAGCTCTCCAGCTGGCGAAAATTTACCGCTTATTGTGGAAAAGGCTCGTACCTACGGAGTCGGAAAATGGGCACCGGGCTACTCCGAGAAAAAAAATCACTCTCTGCAATTCAAGTGGGAAGGCTCTAGCTCGGCTACCACAGGACACCAAAGAGAATCTACTCGAACACATTCCACGACGCTCAAGATAAAATGAAATTCCCCAAGCAGCAACCGAAGCCACAGGTAAAAGTTGGAAGATCTTTGTGGACAATGGATGCTAGGAAACGAATCGAATGTGAGAACTGCTGGGATTTGCACAGCGGGCGTGAAGACGGGTCAATATTGCGCGTAATATGTGTTCAATGTATATGTCGCGGGCTATAACGGATGTAGATGATATGTAAGCAGTGCCGATTAAAAATGTTCTAGGTTGTATATATTTTGAAGAACATTACTATCCAGTATTAACTTTTTTAATAGCCTTCTATAATTTTTTCACAGCAGGGTATTATGTAATATGTATAATTATAACGATGCTGAGATATTTGCGAAACTCCTGACCGGAGGCGACTGCGGTGGGAAACGAACGCGCTATTACGCTTTCCAAACAATAAACAAAGTAAAGTAGTAAGCAGTGAATAAGAAGTTAACATTGTGATTTCGACTGCAACCTCAGCTTGATTGGGTTCAATGCCGATTTGTGTTCCCCAGATCAATCCCGTCGACGTGTGATTGCTGATGGCACTGGTAGACAGAAAACTAGTTGAGAGCAAGGAGAAACAAAGGGAGCGCATTGTGTGGTGGTGAACGTGTCAGCTATCGGAAGGGGTAATAGCATATTCGATCCCACCGCGGACACCTATGGAGCGGAGTCTTGCAAATTTCTCAGCATCGTTGTGGTTGTATTGCTACCTAATTTGTAAAAAAAATTTTTTACGGATGATGTTTGCAGCATCAGTTGGAGGTTATGAGAATAAGAGTTGGAAACATGCTACGTGAAAGCATGTTGATGAACTCTTAGCTCTTCTAGATGATAGTTTTCGTAAAGCAGAACATGCAACTACACCTGAATTTTTGTCAAAACCTTGCTTGTAAGCAAGGATTAGAAGTTCTATCTTAACAATTTAGTTGTAAGTATGTTGATAGACCTTCGTGGATGGTGCATGCAAGGGAACGAATCCAATGTGAGTTCTGGAACCCGCACAGTAGATGTGATCAAAGTGAAGTGAAACAAATAAATAAATATATGTGTGCGTTATAAACTGCAAATTATACACTAGTGTTTCAGAGGGTAATTGTCAAGACACCAGCTGTGGTTGCTACTATAATAAGAATTTGAAGTCGTTTACAGAGAAAACTTCAGTTGAAGCACGCTGTTGCGCTCATATTCTGTGGATAGCGAGTCCTTCTGATTATGCCTCCAAATAACTTAGCTTTCTCTAAGCGCCGAACTTCAATGTTACAGGTGATGCCCTTGGTTATGTGAGTCCTATACAGTGCTTTCACTTCCTGAATATTCAGATTGTTCCATGAATCACTTGCCTAGGTCGCGATAATTTCGCCTTTTGACACTAAGTTGACTGTACAATAGGGATTCCACATGTTGACTAATTTGGGTGCGATCTTTAGCATGGGAACATCGAAATGCTTTTATTTTTGGTTAATTATGTCTTCCAAGTGAGTTAATTTAACGGTATACCGCAATCTGAGAATCAGGAAGAGGTTACACTGAACCATTTAGCTATCAAAGTGGTTTGCTTCGTAAGAACAGAGTATGTCATTAAGTCTTCTCTGATCTCTGCCTTCTTTGAAATAGAGATGCGAAACACATGAGACATTAAAAACATATATCTTTCTATTTCTGTTCAGCAAACACGAGGTGCTATTTTATTTCTTTATGTTTTGATCCTCGTGCAAGAATCGAGAACACAAGCGCACAAAACTCTTGAAGCATTCTGGATTAATTCCAAGAATCCGAAAATGAACCGCAGGGAGGAATGCCTCGTTATCACGCGCGATATTGGATAGTACATAAACCTGTTATTCTGATGGGAGGAGCACATTACGCTTCCATGTGAATTTGGTGCGGTCGGTCTTCACGCGACATACTCAGTGGAAGACTCATAGAAAGCGGTGAGTGTGCAGAGCTGTGTTAAATGTGATTAAAATCTTGGTTTAGCGCTTTCTTTGTTTGGTTATGGAGGTGTTTGGTCGAATGGATTGCTGTCAACTTGACCCTTCCAGGCTCTGAGGAAGGCGAAATTCGCCGAAACGTCAGCTTGTGCGTAAATAAAGAAACAAAATAGCACCTCGTGTTTGCTGAACAGAAGTAGAAAGATATATTCAGTCAATGCCGAGGTTAATAGAAAGTCGGACTTGGGAGTTATTAAAAACATAGTTGGTAAGTTTTAAGTACTAGACAAACGGAACGAGGAGTGTAATTGGTCCTACAGTCAATAGGTGGAAAGCCTTAAGGAGAAGCGAAACCGAGATGTGATTGCCTTATCTCACAATTCCTCCTCTTTTCATCATGTCTAAACACTTTTCTAATAATAAAAATAGCTTGTAAAAAGAGTCTGCCAGGATGGATGCATAGATGACTTAAAAATCTATTGCTGGGACCACCGTGAACTTTCCATTCGATAGCTGGTTTCATGAAATCAGTGGGCAGAAGTCGGAAATCAAAAATGTCTTGGGTAAGTTCTTCGGAGATGATCTGCTCAGAGTCACTGACTGTTGGAATGTGGGATGGACTGCTAACAAATACTGTTTTATACTTCGTCTATCACTTTTATCGCTATCGATGTTTGCTGTGATTATCATAAGCGATGGTCATCTGGCAGGTCTCATTTTTCATTTTGGTAACCGGCATATGCGTGACTCTACTTCTACAAATACAACAAGCGTGAAAACGGTACGGTGATGATACAATCTTGTATGGAGAATCCATCTTTTTCAAGAAGATTACCATACGATTTCGCTTCAGAAGCCCGCAGAAGATACATGGACTAGTCAGAGGATTAATACTAAGCCTATACAAGACGCCGTACGTGTTTTCGGACAAACGAATATGTACGTGGCGCTCTGGTCACAGCAAGGAAAGCCACCTGTCGTGGGACAAGCATGGAACGATGGCGGCGCTTTGCAGGTGAGGAGAATAATTCATTGCGAAATCTCAACTTTAGAGAAATACTTTTACTAGAATCGGTTCACGCTGAGTGACTCGTTTATCTGAGTTTATAAAGAACTTTTTCAGTTATTTTTCACTAGGAAAAGTTGGCTTTTCGTAAGCATTGACATAGAGCACCACAGGGTTGATAGTGTTTTCTACTGAGATGCATGGTAAAGACTAGGAAGACGAAATTCTAAGAAGTTCATCAATTTTATAGAGATAGTTGTTGACCTTCTCTGCGTTTCTTTTAATTCACATCGCTCTCAGTTAAGCATCTTAAACACAAGTTGGTGGACTTCAGTGGCTTGACGGGTGTAGGGTAGAGAAGGGGTAAATGAGCAAGCGTACACATGCACGACTAATTGTTCTTAATTCATGTGAAAAACGAGTCACTCAGCGTGAAGAGTGAGCATGTTTAACCGCAAAACTCTCATTTAATTGAAAATAGAGTGAAGTACGCTCATTCAACTTCATGTTTTTGTACGATCTACCTAATCGTAGCTAATTTCAATGTGCGTATTTGGACACTTGGATGGGCCGTTTTCACTGTTCGTGCCGGCGGCAGCATTATTTCCACTTGCTGGCTTAGCCATTGTGGAGACCTGAGGTCGGCCTAGCCGAAGTCTTCCACACGTCGTCACCACTCCTGCCAGTAGCCGCCCTTCTAGATCAGAGAGCTTGCCACATGCGACTAGTTTGATACCATGACGTTGGTGATTCCTGGTATTGGTTTACTTCTAGGTGGGCTTTCGGATGGGAACATCTGATTACTTCTCAGACTGGAAAGCTTTGCTGGGCGGATGAACCTATCGTGCCATAGTTAATGAAATCCAAAACGTGTATCCGATAAGGACTGACCAACGGCGAACGCTTCTACCTTTTTGTCCTGCAAGCGATGAATTCCAATCTTCTTCATCTAACGACAAGTTCTTTGTTTGCGCACTTGGAAAAAAAAGGTCTTAAAACAAATCCCAACATGCTTTTCAATCGTTTTATTATCGCTTCTAGTTCTTTAGTGTGCCTTTGCGTGTGATCAGAAAGTATTCACTGGAGCGAATATAGGCACTGAAACTATCCAACTGCTCAAGTATGAAGGAGATCATGCTACAAATCAATTCTACTATGAATGGATACCACTGTCAGAATGGAAGGTAATCCTAGTACAGATGGGCCAGTGACTATAAAAAAGTGAAGCTATAAAGCCCTTGGTCTTTCAGTCAGCTTCGAAAACGGAGACTACTCGTGAAATGGTACGGAGCGGTCCTGTTTCACCAATTTATTGGAAAGAAAAGTGTATACTTGGCAGTTATGATGTTGCTGCACAGAAGGCTGATTTCGCTCAAGCTGAAAACTTTATAAAGGTATGAATCAGTTGAGTAAAATTTCTATCAGCAATGACTATTGTCATACGGTATTTGTATGGATACTCAGGATATTCAACTCGTTTCCGAGCCCTGAATTGTTTTTCTGGGTTTATAACTCTCTATTCTGCATACGTTCTTCTGGATACACATAGATGTGTTCTTCTTCAGGTCAGTGAAGCTCCAACACTCGGTAGCATGCTGGTGCTGGTCCGCAACACTGGTGGTGGTCCAGCTGGATGCACTTGTACAAAATGTGCGGTGAGTTTACAATGCACATTAACATCACCGCCTAAAGTCGGTGCTTTTGTCAACACTCTTAATGGTAAAGTCAAAGTCAATATTCTCAATCCTTTAGGCTAAAGACTTGAAACAAGCGAAACAGCTGATTGTGAATGATTGGGGCGATTTTTATGTTGGAAATCAATGGCCAGTCGATAAGTAAGACTTTAGTTGATACACTACAGCAACTTTAAAGATTATGGTTGTGCTTATGTTGGCATGAAATGCTAATAGTCCTTGAAGAGAAATTAAACGTTTGGTTAGATGTGCCCTACAGTGCACGCTGTGTCGTGGTTTAGACTCCGGACCCCCGGGCTGACAAAGTTTCACTTTTTCTGGAGGTCGGTGAACGCCTGCCAGACTTGTCTGGAAGGGTAAAAACTTGACTTGGTATCCCAATTCTTTACGTAAGTCACTAATTAGAGCAAAATGCATGGTGGAATGCTTGGGCTATTGATCAACGCCGTACGCTTTATCCTTTCGGCCTTAGTGCAGATTATGTTTTAGGCCAATAGTGAAAGCATTGAATCGTCCACTTAGAACTCCTCGAGGGCCAGAAGACCATTTCGTCGCGTTGTGGTACCATCACGGAAAACCGTGCATGGGTCGCGCATGGAATCATGCCGGCAAGATTGATGTTTCTTTTGTCGAGTAAGACAATATTGACAATTTTATAAGAAAAACAGAAAGGTGGACTTTTTTGGAACAGTTTTTCACCTAATAAATACTGTACCCATCGTTGTGTGTGACGTGAGCGTTTGTCTAGAAGAGACCATCGGAGGACTAGCGGTAGATCGTAGGCGTTCGCCAACTTGAATGGGTCACCCAAGGGCATTACTTGCCACGGATAAAGAAGCACATCCGTAGGTTCCGGCATTTTCTGCTATGTAGCTTCGTTTTTGCGCTATCTTCTGCAGTTACTAACATTACGATAACCTCAAAACCATTCAAACAACTAAATTTTAAAAAATTTAAAAATCGTACTATGCAAGGACCTCAGTGGTGCCGTGCGTAACACTTATGAGCCTCGAAAAGCGTAATTGCGGTTTGATCTAGCTTGGGGTCAAAGTTTTGCAAACATGTCAGCACTACTGTGGTTGAACATCATATAATAACTGCCATAAAAAATTGTAATGGGTAATAAATAAAAAGTTGACATTGTAAATTTATACGGTTTGGAACACTATGAAATATTTTTCTTCCTTCGCTTTAGCGCTGGCCGTGAGTTCACCGGTGATGTCGTGGGATCGATGCAGATGATCGTCGAATTGCCTCCCACTGCAGCCGGTTTCGAGTACTGTTGGCTACCGTATGAACAAGTTGGTATTCCATAGTGTGAACGAATAACCCACCATCATAAATAAAAAGTATAAAATAAGGTTAGCATACCTTTTGCAGGCCTCACAATATACTGACAAAGATTTTGCTCCCGTTCACATGAGTCACGTTGCACCGTGTGTCATACAAATAAATTCGCATGAAATACTTGGTAAGAGGATTTTTACCACGAACCACTCTTTTGAGTTTTTTTTTACCGCTTTAAATTGACCACATTTTTCTAAACATTTACCAGAAACATTTGCACGTTCCCTACTCTCGCTAGTGAACGAGTAATTTGAACGAGCATCGATAAAGACATTATGTGTTCACACGGCCTTCCACATGTTCATTTGTTCTTCCAACTTTGAAGTACAATAAAAGCAACGATTTATGGTGTCATGATCATTTTTGTAATTTCGCAGTCGGCAATTACACCAACCATATTCGTTTTACTGATCAAATCGTTCTTATAAAAGCAAACATTAGCCAAGAAGAACTAATGCATGGCAATTTTGATAAAGCCTATGGGAAGACTGGTTTTTGGCTAAATCTCACAAAAACGGTGTTCATGAGGAGCGCATTGGTTACGTGTGCCCTAATCACATCTTGGTCGGGAAATCAACACGATGAGTGACTTAGTTCAGGAGTTGAGTAGAAGGAAGCGAGCAGCTTGGGAGCTTTCAAGAGCATCGAGAATGTAGTGAAGGGAACAAAGGACACTCGACTCCGTGCCCACCTTTTCGACTCAACGGTGTTTCCTGCCTTAACTTATGCATCGGAAAAATGGTCGCATGTAAGCAGGATGAAAAATCACTCAGAGTTATTGAACGCACAGTCGAAAGGACGATGCTAGGATCATCCCGTTTCACACAAGTAAGAGAAGGAATCCGAAGCTCTCTATAAGCTAAACTGTCAAAGATAAGGTGGACCGGACACGTAATGCGTACGAATGACCACCGAAGGGCAAGAGTCGTAGTGACTGGGTTCCTGGGGCTGTCGAATAAATAACAGAAAGACCACCGGTTTACTTCTCAGAGTCCTTCTCAAAAACCCTAGAAAAGGATCTGATGCTCGACGAGTTCCCATAGAAAGCTGAATTTATTGGGGTGCCCTCCTTTACACACGGCAGGGTGAAATGAAAGATTTACTGACTCTTGCTCGTGTCGCTAGACGATGAGTAGGTCGAACGGTTATATAGGTGATAATCATTTTTCACTGTTCTTAGCAACAAAGTAACTTCACAAAGCTTATTGGGTTTTTCTGTGACACGCCTTCAGTGCTGGCTGAACGTACGGGAGAATGAACTCCCTCTGCTTGGAAAACGGTGCTGGAGAATGGACTCTACGTGCAGTGCCGCATCCAGCAGCACCACTCAGCTACGATGAGGCGATTAATCATTTTTACTAAAACTACTTCAAATTTTCTTTTGCTTACACAGTGACTAACGGGGGTCTATCAATGTATTTACTCAGTGTTTATTTTCGTACACGTGTCTAGTACGGACCAGTCTACATCGGAAGGATAGGTGACCTGGTTCGCAATGGTTGAGAGACGGACCAACGACTCTGTACATCCCATGGACATGTTTAAACACTGTCAAAATTGTATGACTGCAGGATCGGTAAATTTAAAACAAGAACGTGCTGAGGCCGCATTTGATGGTAGAGTGCTGACTTTGGACGGTCCGAAAATCCAGAAGCTTAAGGTATTTTTTTGGCGCTACGTTACTTCATTATGAGTTCGTAGTTTGCGTATATCTCCAGTCGTTAGATCGATCATCCAAATCACTTCATGAAGCTTCGGACATGCTTCATAATGAGGTCTGCATGAAACTTTTGATAAAAATATGTACATATTTTTTTTCGTAGTCATTTACTAAACCTTATCACGAACGTTGAGACAGACCGCAAGGCTTGTCGCTTGGATTGACGTTAGAAAGAAAGAGTACTACAACAGATTGACAAGTAGGCTTATTGCTCCAGATTTCAATTTACTTCACCATTAATGTTTATTTTTAAAGTACGAATAAATAGAAAATAAATACGGCAATAGATTGATAGTATGTAAATTTAATAATGCAAAAGTGCAAGAATAAAAACATGAATGCAATGGCTCACATATTTGTCAACGTGTTAAACTCTTGCTTATGTAATTATTTTGTTTTCTTTTAAACATATGGCAGTACAATGACTCTTTATGAAAAAGTGGAGGGATAAAGCGTTCGAAATTGACGAATCTCCTAGAAGAGATGCACTATGCATCCGACTCCATTCGTAGCATCCCAGAGGTAATTCAAAGCATACTTCACCTCCTTCGGGGTTCACTGATGTATCGAGTCAGTGCTATCGCATCAGTTTCTCATATTGGAGAGATGGAGGACTTTGTTTCACTAAGTTACAGGATCGAGCAAACGACCATGTGATTCCTAGCGTTAACTTTAACCACTGTGCTGCCATGTCTTTCTATGCATTACTGAATGTTATTTAGGTGCTATGCAGAAAAGATCGCGACGATACGGTCGTCATCTAGTGGGTGTTCTACAGAGTGAAATCTTGGAACGAAAAACCTTTAACGAAACGCTTTAATCATTCGCCTTCTCCATTCCTAACACTTTATGTCACCAAACCTGATAATCAACACTGTTCTCAACATGTCATCTTGTCCGTTTCATTCTCTACAACATTAAAAAAATATTGACTTGGTTTTTTTGATTTTCATAGTAATTTATCCTGAAAGATTAAAAGCAATTGATAAAGAACGATAAAGAGTGCACTTAGAATTGTGATCAAATCAAGATGTTTTATCAGAAATAACGCGTTCTTTCTTACGGGAGAAAAAAACCCAGGCATACCAGAATGAAGACGAAGGAGGCAATTCTGTCATTTTTCTTTACACGACCCATCTTTCACATCTACCATGCGGATCCCAGTATTTCTCGCATTCTATTCGTTTCCGGGCATCAATCATCTACGAAAGTTTTCTAAGCTTTTACGTGTGGCTTCGGCTCCTGTGTGGGGTTTCCCCTTTCATCATGAATCTTGTTGAGTGCTGGTCGAGTCGATTCTCTCTAGTGTCTCAGATAACAGGACGAGACGTTCCCACTTGGACTACACAGAGCAAACTATTTCGAGACGAGTCCGGTACCAGCTTCCTCACGCTATAGTAAATGAGAGGCTTCGTGAGCACGTCGCGGAGTCGAACTATCATTATCATCTTGGTGTCAATGGGATAATTCTGTCAAAAACTGTATTCTGACCACTGATATTTCATTGGTATTTGGACTGCTTCATTGCACTTAATTGGTCCGTTGATGAATAGTCACAGGAGTCGTCGCTGCGAAAATTGCTGCCGTGGTGGAAGAAACCCGATCGTAGGTGACATCCTTTTAATCCAAAAGAATCGGCGGTGAACAACATGAGGATATCATGTCATGATATCATGAGGACAAGAGAAAGCAGATCCTTACGCCGAACCAATTCACGATTCCATGCACCTCTGTGAACGCAAGAAAAGCTGGAAGAAAGAATAAAGACTATTCACGACGGTGGTCTGATTTAATCTATGGTTGATATGATTATGACTATAGATGGTGACAAAGGCAATACATGCGCGTTGTGAATTGGAAGGCTCGTCCGAAAACGGTTTTTTGTCAAATATTAAGCGTGGAAAATTTTTTTACGGGTCGGGCCTAATACGGCATCTGTTTTATATAACCTTTACATTAAGTGCAAGAAGCCCACTAAAGAAACTTCTCACGAAATAATGAGCACTGGCAAAAAACGTGCATTGAAACTAATGCATGAGGCTCATTTGTGCGCAGTATTGGGGTATCATTGCAGTTGACGAATCATCGTGATGTCCAGTGATAAATCGAATAATTTCTCTCATTTCGGAGTAATAATAAATTTAAAACCTTACTGGGGAACCTAAAATTCACTATTTTGACTTATTATTTACTGCCTACTCTTTTCAACGGCAAGGTATATATTGCGAAATATAACTTTAATGATGCTGAGATTTTTGGTAAACACCGGACCGCAGGTGTTTACGATGGGAACGAGCGCGCTATTGCCCTTTCCGGTGAGTAAAGCGTTCACCACCACACCATGTGGGTCCTTCGATTCGCCTGTCTCTCAGCTAGTTCGATCGATCTTTTGCCAACAGCAATCACCTGTTAGCAGGATTGATCTGGGGAGCCCAATTCGGCAACGAATCCAGTTAAGCTGAGGCTGTAGTTATAATCACAATTTTAACTTATTATTTACTGCCCACTCCATATAACGGCAGGGTATATTGCGAAATATAACTTCAAAGACCCGTATGGTGTGGTAGTGAACGCGTTACTCCCCGGTAAGGACAATGGCGCGTTCGTTCCCCACCGCATACACCTGCGGTCCGGAGTTTTGCAAATACCTCAACCTCATTGAAGCTAAAAGTTCCTTTTTTAATGTAGCAAGGATGAATGTAGATATTATCCTAGCAGTGATTTCAAACTGTGTGATACCGGTTTTTCGTATAAAAAATCGTCGCGTAAAGATTGAGACGTAGTAGGTTATAAACAAACCTTCTCTTGTGTACTTTAGTAGAAGAAAAATATTTATTGATCGAAAGCGAGGTTAAAGCGATCCGGAAAGTACCATTAAACACTAAAAAGCACCCTATTTCTTTCCAGACAGTGCAAAGGAAAATAAAACAAGGAAAGTCGATGAAATAAATAATACAACTTTATGTACATACGGCATCTAAAACGCCGTAATAATACGCTTATTGAAAAAACAGACAAAAATCACTTTAGGGAAATCGTCTGTGACTTTGAACACTAAAAAGGATCTATAAGTTTTCGGTGTATCTAGGTGTTAAATTTTCTTTACTGAAATTGTAACCACACAGGGTGCATCAGACTGATCATTCCACTTCTCCTTTCGATTAAGCACTTTTGAATTTCACACCTAGTAGGGCTTAAAAATTAAGTTTCCTAGATAATCACCTTGCAATGAGCGTCTGGAAGTCCTGGATATCCATTACAGTAAACTACCAGCGGCTACCGTTTACTAGTTTTCTATCTTTCACTCACATTCGCTAAGATATTCGATATCGCGACGGCCGAACTCCGTATGTTGAGACTACTCTACACGATAATTCGGAAGGTAAAATTGTGGACCTGGCACAAGAAATGATGGATGCAGTCACTGGGATGATACGACCATTATTTCCAGAACTTTTCTAAATCTTTTCCACAGTAACTGTAGGTGTTCAGTAATTGTTCAAATCGGTGGAACGTTTATATTCAAAGCTATTTCTAGTGACAGTTTGTGGTCGTTCATTTCGAACCACATCCCTATTACTTTTCTAGTCACATAGTATTTAATGTATTCTACTGACATACAGCATGACCCTAAAGAATACTAGAAACGCAATCGTGAGATCATTAGCAAATCGGCAATCGCTGCGTTGTAGTGGCGTACGTGGTGTGCGAACGAACACTAACCGGAATCGCCGGCTGTGGAATTCGTGGCACAGCCGGCTGATAGCCGTGCTTATCTGTCACCGGTGACCTGTAAAAGGAAATCCGATAAATCCATATCCTACATAGAAAAATCGATCGTCTTGTTTGGTCACTAGAGAATTCGGATTTTGAGTTGTTGAATCAGGAGAAGGATAGGTAACAGCCATAAAAAAGAATTACGGTAGCTTGACACTGTAGAGTACAACAGAGAAGTGACGACGACAAGAACAACAAAGTGCTAGCGACGTCAAGATGAACCTAATGAAAATCATGGTCATGATGTAAATCGGAAGCACGTTGGAGAAAAAGAGCTTTGTTAATGTGAAAAATATTAACAGCCACCCTTAAGTAATATCGCGATGATTTAGGATTTTAAAGTGCCAATTACCTAACAACGGAATGATGACTGTAGAAACATTACCATGAAATTAACTAAGAGATATTTCACTATTTTTAACTATAATACTATTTCTATCTATTCACGTACCTTATGGCACGACAGAGATTAACGATAATATGCAGCAAACAAGCCGATGCTGCTAGTACTCCTAGAATCGGATCGATAAGTATCTTTAATGCTGAGACAATATTCCAGCTTCGCATCCAATGCATTGACGGCTGCCAAGCGTCATTGACAAATGAGAGCCTGAATATCTTTAGTATAACAAAGTAACATAAATTGTAAGATTTATTAGAAATAGATTCAAAAATCAAGCATAATACCTTTCGACTCCGGGAATCAATAATTTATATAAATCCATCCTATAGAAGTAATGTTCGATGATGAATATAAGGAAGTGGTTAGAGATGCTTTACAACAGGAACGAGTGTTGGATTGATCCCGGACCACATGTTTACCAAGCCCTAATAGCGCCAGGGTTCCACATTGGCTACCAGATTTGTTTTAGAGAAGAGAGAAACACTTGCTTCATTCATCGATAGACCAGCGCAAGCCAATGTATAGGCCAAATGTGGATTCGATTAGTCTCCCATGATACGAATGGGATCGAATGCATAGTACATCCGTAGGGATTGTTCAACGACGGATGCCTTATTTTTTATATGTGATGGTGAATTTTTTCATTTTTGTGCGACCTATCTTCTCGTCTACTATGCGGATCCCAGCACTTCTCACATTCGATTCGTTTCTTCGCATCCATCATTCACACAATCGTCTTCCAACTTTTTACGTGTGGGTTCGGCTGCTGCTTGAGGATTTCTATTTCGCCTTGAACTTGAATGTCCTAGAATGCTGGATGGCGATTCTACCTAGAGTCCAGAGATAACCAAGCTAGGGGGTTCCCAAATGACTTCCAGAGAGTGAATTTTTCCCGCAGAGGTCTGTCACCAATTTCTTGACCCTGTAGGGATGAGAGGCTTGGTGAGCCTAGGCGGTAATGGTGAATACTGAGAGTAAATGTCCATCTTGTATAGAAGCACATAAAAGTTCAGATCAAAGATAATTGCTAGACGACTGATGTTGAATAGCGCTAGCACATATATAATGCTGAGATATTTGCAAAACTCCGAACCGAAGGTGTATGCGGTGGGGAACGAACGCGCGCTATTGTCCTTCCCGGGGAGTAGCGCAATTCACCACCACACCATCCGGGTCCTTCGTTTTGCCTGTCTCAGCTAGTTATCAGCTAGCTAGGAAAAAGGCAGTAAATAAAAGGGTTAAGATTGCGATTATAACTAAGCCTCAGCTTAACTGGGTTCAATGGGCTCCCCAGATCAATCCCGTTGACGGGTGATTGCTGATAGCAAAAGATCAATAGAACTAGCTGAGAGACAGGCAAAACGAAGAACCCGGATGGTGTGGTGGTGAAGTGCACTACTCCCCGGTAAGGACAATAGCGCGCGTTCGTTCCCCACCGCATACACCTGTGGTCCGGAGTTTTGCAAATATCTCAGCATTATATACGAGTTATATTTCGCAACATACCCTGCCATTAAAAAGGAAAAAGGCAGTAAATAAAAGGATTAAGAGCGCTAGTACAGTTTTATCCAACTTCACAACCACAATTTGCAAAGTAAGTAATAAACTTACATGTAAAATAGGGCAGCCGCCGGATAAAGAGCACCTTCTAGACCGGCTCCGTATGTTACTTGTGGTGATGTGAGCAACCCCCGAAATCCCACCAATAACGGAATACAGACAGCGATCACAAATACTAAGTCACGAAACAGGTTGAATACACCGTCCAGAATCTGTAACAATTCGACTTCACAATGATATCATAACGTAATTAACTGACGAGGTGGCTAATGTTGTCGTTCATGACAGTGTATTACATGCACAGCTCGTTTAGAAGAGAAATGTCTCAAAACTAATACAAATTCTTTAAGAAGAGCTGAGAAAACCGCTATCTATTATGCCCAGAAAAAAAGCAGATAAAAAAAGGGATAGTAGTACTTTCGAAGAAGCCGATTTAATCGGATCGGGAAAAAAATTATGCACTCAGTTCGCCAGTTAGAGTAACACACCTTGCTAGCGGCACCGACGACACAAATCCCACTCAGAGGATCGGCGCCCGTACTTCGTGCCATGAGCGCGAGAAGTACTAGCCCTAGCGGCGATGCCCATGCGATCACTTGGATTTGAACGCGATATTTTTCCTAAAGTACTTATTTAAATATTCGCTAAGCGCACCTGATGAGACTGATGATAAAAGCGCTTTCAGCGGAGACTATTAGACAGCTCCAAAGCTCAAAACGAATAATCAGCGGAGTTTCTACCAGTTATTAACGGAATGTGCATAAAGTATAAAAAGAATCTAGCAAGCTTCAACTGACTACATTTTTAAATTTTGTCACTTGAGTACACCTAAAGGATTATCACCTTTTTGGACAACAACTGAAGCTACTGACCAAATTTCCGGAACGAGTTGTTTGTTGATTCCATGTACAACATAGTACCAACCACCATATGCGCCCAGCACAACCGAAGTAGTATAATAGTGTGGAAACGCAAGCACAAGGAGTATGTGGTAAGCCACCGACGACGAACACCAAGTGCGACGAGTAATCGGTGCAGGAGATCTGAAATTAGATAAAACAAGGGTTTTTCCTTAGAAAAGCCGCATTAGTCACAGACCTCTTGCTTTTGCTGAGAACAAAAACAGAAATTGGAGTATGTTCCATAAATCGCGCACCACACAATTTTATATTAGTCGATGTATGGTTAGAAAAAAACAGGTGATGAACAATTAGCCATTCTTGATGGAAAAACCTTCGATAAATCTTATGATTAGTAAAAAAAAAAGAAGCACCTGTTCACGGTAAAGAAGACTGAACAGGTACACGATTGAGCTCAGGGCAAATGACAACGACGTCCAAAGAAGGCTGGTTTCGGGCAAAGCGGTTAAGCAGTGTCGACTAAAAAGTATTGAGAGAATCTTCCCAGGATTTCAGGTCAGTTTATGTAAAATTTCATTCCAGGACATAGAAAAGCATCACTAAGGATAGTCACTTTATTCACAAATTTCAACTCTCTGTGAAAACATTCGGTTTGAAAATCGGCTCAGAAGCGCTTCTATTTCAAAGATCACCACTCATGATCAGGACTATTCGAAACTTACCGCATCACAAACGTGAGCACACAAATAGCGGTCATCACAATGCTGATAGTTGACAGCACGAAAAGCGCCGTTGATGCAGATTCACGATCAGCCTGTAACAACACCATAGTAGGTACAGTACAGTCGATCCCACACATACTTTTCACATGTTTCGTTACAAAACCTACTTGTTTGATGCCTTGTCCAGCAGCGCAGATCGGAATGCACCGTCCACTTCGATTCACGTAGATGTGTTCCGGTGGGCATTCTTCTTTATCGTGTTCCTCTGGTGTCCTTGCAATCACTCCCTCTTCATTCGGTCCACGCATGCACATATCCTCATTATTGTTTTCTATAATAAAATCCTACATTCACCTTATAGTTCCAGCCTACATCGTTTGTCCACAGAAACAACAAACAAATAGAATGATGACTTTTTTGTCTAAAGAAGTGACATCGCCTGACGATTCAAAAGATTTTCATTCTTTTTGCAAGAAGCGCCCTGCAGTTCGGAGTTAGAACTCATAATCCATTTTATCTAGCTACGCCTTAAATTTTCAACATAACCCCACACGGCGAAAATTCATGCTTCTTACTTTGCATCTTCTTCATATTCGATCTCCTTTCTCACCCACTCACTCTAATAGTTAAACTTTCTGGCCACTCAAAGAATAGTGTTGGTTAATTAAATACCAGCATTAAATACACATATCTCAGATCATAGCAAGTTGAATGCCAGAAAAAAAGCCATAAAAGAGTAAAAAGCAGGTACACTAATTCAATGCATGTGACAAGATCAATCAATGCTTAGACAATGAACAGATCCCAAGTGAGCATGTCTGTACGTTCGTGGATAAAGTAACAGTTGACCAATGTGGATCTCAAGAATCCATTCAAATGGTGCTCTAATCATTAAAGTAGTGCTTTAATCACACTCACCTAAAATAAACTTGTTGCAGTCGATCTGAGCAGGCCACGAGAAACCGAAATCCTTTAGAAGCGGGAGACATTTGTCACGCACGGATTCACAAAGTGGACGACATGGTCCAATTGGTTGTAGAATCTGACGACGATATCATTATGATGATAAATAAAACCCATTAATGAAATGATAATGTTGCAAAGAAAACATTAAAAAGAAACGATGACACATGACAATTGCAAAAAATCGATATCCAGGATTCACATTGGTAATCGATTAAGTGAAAAAGCCTTTCCTTAGAAAAAATGACTGAGACATTTTACGGGGCCCGAAAAAAAGTGAAAGTTCTATGCTCCCAGTGGTTGGTAGGAATTCATTCAGAAAAACTCAAGCATTCAAACTGTACGGAAAAACCCTACTATGAATTTTTTTTGTTGAGCAAATGAAGAAAAAACTAGAAAGTAGCCAAAATATTGCCAAAAGAAAAAAAAACACAAATTTGTATTCCATGCCAAACTTTCTGGAACACTGGTTTTGTATCTAACGATGAAATGGATGTAATTTCAACCGGTCACTCTCATTAATTTAGTTTTGAAATAATCTGTAATGATCATCTTTTAGTGATGAGGTATACGGTATCTACGGCATAGAAACCTATTACTTACTTTTTCGTTGCACATAGGAAAATAGACGGAGCAGAGAAAAAATCGTAACTGTTCGCTGCATTGACTGTTAATAAGTGGCTGAAACGATGCCAACGTATCTTGAGCATCACCAGCGGATTCATCGCCAGCCAGGTTCGGAAATCTGTAACGTATTCATACAGAACCGCGAGTGCTTCGTACTAAAACGAGGTGATAACTAGGTGGTTAAGGTTGGTGGAGGTTATCTCTCAAATCGGAGCTTTTTTATCATCAATGAAACAAAGATCTGTGAAGAAAAAGTACCCCAGGAATAACACAAAACATTTTGCTTCACAACTTCAGCTTCCTTACAGCTAACCCATTGAAGACGGGTTTGCCAAAGAGAACAAACAGAAGATATTCTGACTCAGCTTTCACCTTTTTAGAGCTAACTGGTTGAAAGAGTTAAAGTTAGCGTAGGACTAAAACGGTTCAAACTGGGATATTCTTCAGTTAAGTGAATAAATAGTCGTAAAACTTTCAAACATTCGACCAGTGAGATGAGATAGCAAGTGTTCGATCGCAGCGCGTTCCATATAGGCAGCACCTCTTTGTCGTAAAAAAAATCGAATGGGCCCCTGATTCAGCACTGTGTGTGTGGTCTGACTGAATAGTCGATTGTGATTCCGCCACGGCTGTTTCGTCGAGTCTATTGTATACGTGGTTTTTGATTGATAGCTAGCACCATACGCGCTCGTTCAACACACAAAGAGACGTCATTAATTCTGGCCTGAGTTGCGATTTTGACTAGCCAGTCAAGTCATCCTATGAAGAAAGATGAGCCGTCTTCAGTCGGTTGTTTGCACTCGATAATCGAAGCATAATGTCCTATTTGGGAAAAACGAGTGCAGCTGCAGACAAACGGCATTCATTTAATCACAATGGACACTAACAGTCAAGTTGTAGGTAGGACACTCCAAATGACGCTGATTAGGTGTATGCATGTATATGTGTGTGCACATGTGTAGCACAAACCACTGCGAATAATTATATGTGGCATCTTTGTACGTGTGTATGTGTGTATCTGTTCGTCAGTGTATGTATATATAAGCACATGTGCATGCGTATATCCGTGCCTATGTGTGCATGTGGCATATATATATGTATATATATACACATATATACACGCCAATATATATGTACACTTCTGCCGTATATGTATATATGTATATATACAATTTAAAATTGGAAACCTTCACTTAAATTCACTTCATATGGTCGATATCGTCCGACTGATGTTGTTACGCCAGAGATGTGAGAGCTAAACACAGGCAACAGATGTCCACTCTTTCTATTTTAGCAGTTTAACAAAATTTCTGCGCAAAGCCTTACTAGATGGTTTATAGAGGTCAAAAGTGTTACAGACGGCTACTGCGTGATTTCAGTACTGAACTCGGCAACTTATTCCCTTTATCTGCTGCTGCCATCGCGATGATCGTTAATAACTTTTTAAGAATAGTTAACCAATCGTGGCTGAAAAAATCGAAAAGGCTCGACTTAGTGGAATAATTTGAGTCACAACACGTCTTCCAAACCACCTTTCCTGCCAGAAAAGTCAGCTTCTGTTGCCCTTGTTTAGAAGTGTCTTACAACATTTCAGTCCACTTGGTCTACGTACTCATGGCTGATGAAAAGACAGTATGCCAATTTTGACTACTTGCAAAAACCTACGACGACCTCATTTGTACGCAGTGTTAGTTGCACTCAGTTAAAATGTATTTGTAAGCCATTTAAGCCAACACATCACTCATCGATCTTGTTATCCACTGAAACAAGTGCTTCTACAGGAAGGAAAGAAAAAACTAATTAAATTCCTAGACATTGGTAAAAAAACTTATTCAATTCAACATCTTCTCATTATATTTTGGCTACATTCCAAGAAACTCATTGCATGGATAGTGTTGCTGACAAAGTTAAACTCTATATTCTATGCGAACTGAGTGGAAATTTGGGGATATCACACTAAATCCAGCTAGGATTACACATTTGAGCTACTAAGAACTTAATCTTAAAGTATCAAGAACTAAATTCTTTTCTATTCGATTCTTTCGAACTATTCTAATTCTTTTTATTTCATTTTGTATGACCCGTCTTCACGTCTACTGTGTGGATCCCAGCACTCCTCACATTCAGTTCGCTTCTCCGCATCCATCGTCCACGACAGCCTTTCAAGTTTTTACGTGTGGCTTCGGTTAATGCTTGAGGATTTTTATTTCATCTTGAATGTTGTGGAATGCTGGTTGAGCAATTTTGCCTGGAGTCCTGAGATAGTTGGATTGGAGCGTTCTCAATTGGACTGCAGAGAGTGATTTTTCCCAGACAAGTCCGGTACCAATTCCCCGATACTGGGAGGATCAGAGGCTTGGTTGGCCCGGAGCGGAATCGAACAAGCACTATGCTCGTGATAACGGATATCACTGCCACTGTGCTGCCTGCCCCATATTAAGAACTAAAATAGTTAATAGTTCCCAAGATCGACTTTCTCTTAACCTCGGCATTGGAATATGAATGTCGTTTTCTTGCTCAGCAATCGCGAGGTTTTTAAACAGCATACATTTACTTCCATAAAAACACAATACAATACAACGCTAGCTGACGTTTCGGCAGTATCGCCTTCTTCAGAGCCTGGAAGGGTATACTGATTTACAATCTACTAAGCCAAACGCTTCAATAACACTTACAAAAAGACGAAGAACTCTCCGGCAATTACACAATCAACAACTTCTCGAAAAACCCACCGCTTTTTTCGTGACTTCCAATGAGGAAGTTTAGAACAGCTGATTATAGTCGCATGTAGTTGACGACTGCACCATCCCACATCAAAAATCGATGCGAACGTACGAGATCAGGTCGCGTATGATCTCCGGGCATTCATCCCTGCTATTCATTGTAGGGCTTTTGGCATTGATCCAAAAAGCCTCAAGGAGTTTTCGCGCTGGTGTTTTGGACTCCTGTGCAAGGATATTGACTTTCACTTCAAAATCGTCTCCGCTATGCTTTTGTATTCTATGCGTGCCTAGTGGGGTGCTTCGTCTTAGTTTTCGTTTGCCATCTAGGTGTTCTTTTATACGGATACACAAAGGTCTGCCCGTTTCGCCAATATATTCATCTCCGCAATTGTTACACGAGATCAGGTATATCGTACCTGAACTCATGCAATCACCGTCCCTGCCGTAAGGGCAAATTACGCAATTTGTTGTTTCACACAGACGGTCATACAGGCGGTTGCGAACTAATTGGCGACGTAGAGTAGTCGGTGGTATTTCAACTATCGCTACCGATTCCTCTAGATCTGCCCTTCTTAAGCATCGTTTTATAGCTGCGCTTACTTCATCGCTTATAAAAGGCAACATAAACGGGATTTTGTTCTGGCCAAGCGTTTCGCGTGGGCGCGTCGTTCTCCTTGTAAACTTATCTCGTGGGGTTACTATTTCGTAGCCATTGGAGGTGGCTATTTGCCGAGCCAAAATGTTAAAATAGTTAACTAACAGGAAAAGTCGTCAACGCAAAAAATTTCGACAACGAATTGGTCTCAGTAGTTTCAATACAATGAGTGTACAACAAAGAGGACAGGAGGTTTTTCTATTCATTTCATCAGGAATTTCGTTTTTTCTAACAGACTCTAACTATCAAAGGCTGTCACCTACCGTAACCTGCCTTATACGGTAGTCCGCAGTTGTTTCGATGTGTTAATTAGTACGTATCAAGCAATGAACGAACGACAAGAACGCAGTTAAATGTGGTCATTAACACGACGACATTACGAATTACACGTCCGACCACGCCAAGGACTACGGTATCTTCCAGTGTGTGGCCTTTTCTCATCGTTCACTCTCCGCTATGCTGCCGCCGACTGAGCAGTGAAGAAACGTTCGGGTTTTTCGTGCGCGTTCTCTAAACACTCAGTTTCTTCGTTCGCAAAGCGAGCGAACAAATTTTCGAGTACGACGTCTACTATTGGAAATAATTAGTAATGGACGCCACGCAGATGATAATTAATTATCACCTGCTACACTAATAATATCGGCAGGGCTTATTGAGACACCGTTTACGTCATTATTATCGACCACTTAACATGACAAATGATCATCAGGAATTCTGTGCAGGACCTTGACGATGTCACTAATCGATAACTGAGATTTTCGCTGTGGCTGGTCGCTCATATATCACCCGGTGGCGGGACGGGCCATCCTCGCTCGACGCTGTATCGTCGTCGTCGTCGTATCATAATTAATCACCCTCTCCTCCTTCCCACCACCACAACACTCGAAAACCTTTGCTGCACACGAACATGCAAACTGGTCACTCATAATATCAGAAGCAACCCAGAAAAAAAGTGAATGCAAAGGCTGCACGCTTTTACATCGGCAAAGAACGCCACAATGATGGCACGGTTGGCTTACATGGCGCATAGAGTTGTTTTGAAATCGGCAAACATTTGATATTCAATTAACTGGATATAGATGTCTTCAAAGGGTAAATGTAAGTACGGCAGGATATTATTAACACCATGCGAATGCCGCATAGTTGTGCACTGGGGTGGAGTTGGTAGTTCATCATTGACAATAATGACATGTTATGGTGCGAAGAATTCCCTAAATAAATAGCATGCTTTGGAGTAAATAGCGTTAAAGATTGATAGTTAAGGTGACACTCTGTATATTCGATATTCGAAAAGCCTTTTATTGCTGCCCAAGGGATATAGACTTAGTTCTGAATTGAAACAATGGGAGGGTGTTCATCTCAAATATAGAGAGAAGCTAAATATAGAGCTTAGGCAATGATGCTAATGATAATACGAAATCTCCACTGCATCATGGTTGATTTCGTAGACAGAAATTCCTTACTGAGAAAAATAGCTATACTTCCAACGAGAACTAAGCCAACTCTGGCAACAACTAGTCAATAGCCGAGTAAATGACTAACCATCAAAAAATATCCATTAGTTTATTTCATATACCAGAGTTTCTGACTGAGTTCCGCCCACGTGAAGGCCGCCTTTATATTGGCATTTATTTTCAATACTACTAGCGCGGAAATATTCATGGATGCCTCACCGAGCCGTGCCATAACATAGGCTCGTTCTGAGATAGTTTGGTGTCGAAACTGCACTCAATTTGGAAAGTCCTGCTTTAAAATGAACTCAACAGTGTGTATCAGGGTTGGATGATCCAGGAATGTACAACCAACACTCGTTCCAACACCTTTAGTACACGGTGAATTCATGTCCAGTGCTTTGTTGAATTTATAAATAACACACGAATGTGACGGCGCATTCCAATGAAATTGATCGACGTTAGAAACATCCTCCTTTGTCTATTATAACCACAATTCCATCTTCTATAGTTACCAGATATATTAACCCAGACAAAATCTGTTCAACAAAGGAACAAAACAAAGAAAGTGGAAAAAGAAAGATAGACGGAGAGAAAGCGTATATTGCGATGATGTCGTTGAACCCACGAATGTGTGACTGATCCAAGCAACGGAATCGATCATTATCCAGTCATCATAATTTCATAGGCGCTTATCCGCATGGCGATAATTTATTACAGCTCATCATCTAACACATCGACGAATCGCGATCACATAAAAATCACATCGAATGGTTAGGAGTTGCACTTATTAACGGCGATCGAAATTAGGCTAGAACATATACCATCGTCGTGCCTTCCAAACTGGTACTGATTCTAGTCGACATCGATGTTAACCTCTTGTGATATTTCTGTTCAAGAGAACTATTTTTCAGTAGCTACAGACGATGAGGTTCTGCAAACGGAGAACTGATTCCGTCCAGAAAATACGGTAGGCACAGTTTATTTCGATACCGCCACATGTGAACCACGATAAGTTTGGCGGAAAAGACAACTTTTGCATTTGAAACTTGATCTATCAACGTGAATGCAAATAACACTGATGAAGCAGCTGTGGACCATTCACTCGAATCAGTCGGTTCCGAAGG